CGGGCTTGACAGCTTCAACTGGTGAAGGAGAAGGAGCACTTTCTGTATCAGAACTATTTTCAGCACCTTAAAGATAATGATACAGCATAAAAATCTGATAATGATCACGTTTCAGGTGGCGACAGAGCCATGCTTGGAAGTGACGGTTGGGGGCGAGTTACCCTCCTCTGATGACCTCATTCAGCCACTACGGCCAGGCCAGCGGGGAAACTAGCGCTTTCTACAGGGCAGGCGGGGGGCCAGACTGCCCTGGCCTACTGAAATCCAAGTGTGAAGGCTCTGATGTCTAAAAGCAATTCATATGAAATTTGAAAAACGAAAAGAGATGGAAAAACAGAAGTGAACAAAAACCACTCTTTTTTTCTACCAGCCTGTCTCAGTGCTTCCTTTTGACCTGGGAGAGCTAACGCTCGAGAACGGCACCGTCCAACAGAAACATAAGGCACCTCACATCTGTCATTTTAATTTTTCTGGTGGCCACAGTAAGAAAGTAAAAAGAGCGATAGGTAAACTTAACTTCAACGGCGTATTTTATTTGACGTAATATGTGCAAATTGTTATTTTTAAATGTAACCAATATAGAAAACTTGTAGTAAGATATTTTACCTTTTTTGGTACTAAGTCTTCAAAATCTGATGCTATTTTACATTTTCAGTACATCTCAATTTGGACTACGGTTGTCCCTCGTTGTCTGCAGGGGACTGGTTCCAGGACAACCCCCACGCTCCCACCATGGATACTAAAATCCACAGATGCTCAAGTCCCTTCTGTAAAATGCCTAGCATTTGCATGTAACCTAGGCACATCCTCCCGTAGACTTTAAACCACCTCTAGATGACTTGCAATACAGATGCTGTGTAAACAGCTATAAATACAATGTAAATGCTATCTTTACCTAGATACCTCAAACGAACCACAAATTCACTATGTCTTACACTGGACATTTATTCAACACTTCCAATTCTCAAATCAGCTGCTTTTCTAGTGTTTACTATCCAATAAACAAACCAGAAACCTAGGAGCCATCTTCCAAAGCTCTCCTCTCATTTATCCCCATATCCTGCCTACACGAGTCTCAGAGAGTTTCTCTTTAAAAATATCCCTTGAATCCAGCCACTTCTGCTCCACTTCACAACCACCACCAGGGGCCAAGAGGGACTCTTCTTACCCAGCACCCAGACCACTCTCTACAAGAGCACCACAGTGAGTTTTTAAAACCAAATCTTACCAAAACTCACTCATACTCTCCCCTTCCTGTCCATCCCCTCCCTCCCCACTTCATTCCCTCTCAGAGCATGTCCATGGAAAGACGTTGCTCTCAGGCCAAAGTTCCAAACTCCAGAGTGTGGCCCTGCTGAAGGCCCGGGCTGGGGGACCCACCTGCCCTCCCAGCCTCACCTCCTGCCCCGTGTTCGCTGTACCCCTCACCCCAGGCCTTACTGCTGTTCTGGGAAGGCCTGTGCGGCCCTCACCACAGACCTCATGTGCTCTTTCACCTCCTTTCCCTCCGCGTAGTGGATCAAATATCAGGTGCTTCCAAAAGCCTCCCACCACGCCCCTGACAAAGTTACATTTTGCTACTATGCCTCTTACCGTGCCTATACTGGTCACAGCTATAGTTTTACTTTCCTCACTACTATCTGATTCCTGGCCCACTAGGTTATAAACACCGTAAGGGCAAGGATCGTACATTTTGTTTATCATTCAAGTCCCAATGACAAGCACAAGGCCTAGAGCCTGGCACAGAGCAGACTCGAGTATCCGCTGACATGTACAGTGAATGAATGGCTTGAATGTATCTGTAAACTGACCTTCCCCCTATTACTGGGTCCCTGGGCTACTGCCAACCTGACACTGCTATAAACAGCATACAGAGATGGTCAGTGCAGCATTAAGCTTTTAGATTATTTTCTTACAAGACTATAACATAAAAATTTAAATCTCCCTAAAATTAATATGTAGACTTCCAACGAGAATCCCAAAGGTTTGTAAGAAAAATTTCTTAAAACTAGATAAACCAATTTATAATGTATATGCAAGAATAAGTCCCTAAGAAAATCCAAGAAATACAGAAAAAGTACCAGAGTGAGACTTGCCTCCCCTGATACTCAGATTTACTATGAAGCCAGTGTGTGTTACAACATGCTTGGAACTGTCACAGAGACAGACAAAGCCAATCAGTGGTACAGAAGACAGCGTGTGGGAACAGATCCTAAGGTATGTGAGAAACTGATATATGCCAGAGATGACACTTTAAATCGTTGGGTAAAGGATGACTTATTTCATAAACTAGTTCTCTCAGAACTGGCTCTTTGGAAAAGAAACATGAACCTTATCTTACACTTTGCAGAAAAATAATTCCAGATGGAATAAATATTTTTAAAACTCCAGGAGGATAACTTAGTATAAGATATGTATAACCTCAGGAATTATCAGAAATATCTTAAGCAAAATAGTAAACTCTAAAGCTATAAATGTATCATTTATATTTAAAAACAATAAAATAAAAACTTAAATGACCATATAGGAAAGAATACTTTTCATGCATAACACAGTATTTGAAAACTCCAAATTCACTCTTTCATTCATTCAAATATGTACTGAACATCCACTGTGCGTGGAGCTGTTTGAGGTCTTGGCGGCAACTGCACTCTACCAGAGCTGACATTCTAGTGTGAAAGAGACAACAAACAGCAAACCTGCGACACATCAGGTGGTGGTAAGTGCAGTGAAGAGAAGCAACACTGGGGACCACTGGGGCAAGGGCGCATCAGAGAGCTAACGTGACATTTCAGGAAGCCCAAAGACAACCAGCAGCAGCACAGGCACATGGGGGAAGCACCCCCCAGGTGAGAGATCAGCACGAGGAAAAGCCCCTCCGGGGGGTCGCCTTGCTTGGGAACAGCAAAGAGGACAGTGTGTCAAACAAGAAGCAGTCACCTCGCACCTGCCAGAATGGCCATCACCAAAACGACAAGGCACAGCCAGGGCTGGAGAGGATGTGGAGAAAAGGGGGCACAGCAACTAGCTTCGATTTACAAAATATCAAAAAAAGGCAGAGATCCCGAGAACAGACTGGTGGCTGTCGGAGGCAGGTGAGGGGTGGACAAAGCGGACGAAGGCAGTCAAAAGGCACACACACTCGGTCACAGAGTAAGCCAGCCCCGGGGCTGACGCACAGCACGGTGACCAGTCGGTGACGCTGTGCTGTAGATTTGAAAGCGGCTGAGAGGAGACACAAGAATTCTCGTCACAAACCAGACTGTGGTGATCAATTCACAGCACACGCACACACCGAATGGCGACGCCGCCCCCGAGACTGACAACCGGAAAACGCTAATTCTCGTCTCAGTTTACAGCGACGACGAGAGCGGGTGCGCAAACGGGAAAGCGGTGGCGGGGGTGGGGTGGGGGGGGTCAGCTCACGCAGGGGGGCCCCCGGCTTCCATTCCAGATGAGACGAGGAAGTGCCGCAGGGTTTGGAGCAGAGAAGAAACCTGATCTGATTCACATTTTATAAGATCACTCTGGCTGTTCCGTGAGGGGGAAAAAACAGAACAAACAGCAGCAAGCGGACCAACCAGAGGCCACCGTGACGGAGACAGGGGCTCGGAAGAGGGCGGCAGGAGGGAGGCGTGCCGAGAGTCTGAACGGAGCACCTAAAGAAGCGCTGACCAGCGGAGCACCTCTGCTGACGGAGCACACACCGGTGCTGGGACGAGAAGGGCATCAGAACCTGAACACCCAGGCAAAGACTGGAGGGAGAGGAGGGCGTGGCTTCCAGTGCAAGCTTAACGCTTAGGTCTCCAACAGGAAATGTTACACAGGCAGTCAGATATATGAGCCTGGGTTCATATCAGAGTTCAAGTCTCAAAAATAAAGACAAAGTCAAAGGACAAAAGCTCAGAACAGTACCTCACATGCAGTAAGGTCTTAACACAGGGCAGCAATTACTCTTCAAGATTTCACCAGAACGTTGAAAGGCTAACAAAAAACTTGACTTCACCCTCATTTCTATTCATACGAGGATGGAAAACCTCAAATCCAAGGACAAATTAACAAGTTACGTATCTTCCAAACACGGAGGACCTGTTAGTGACTATGCAGCAGGTGGAACCATCCGACATGAGCACTTTTCCAGTTACCTTCTTTCTCCAAGCAACCCAACAGTACAAGTGTTTCCAGGGCTCAGTGCCCCACCGAGCACCAGACAGATGTGTCTTCTTCCTCCCTGCCCCCAAACACCTTAGGGAATGATGCAGGGCAAGAGCAAACCCAGGTTTGGTAAAGTTCCGGTAGCTCTAACTTAACTCAGCTAATCGTGAAAGGCACGCACACAACCAGACGCGCATTTCAGGAGGACGGGCGCAGATGCCATGCCCGCTCCCCCCTGCACCATGCTCTACCTCCAGCGTCTCCTTAGGCTGCGCGGAGAGCACAGACCAAGTCAAAGGGAACGGAGCCCCCACGGCTCCAGCGGCAGGCGCGCTCCCCAGTCCAGATGTCACACCACTGCCACGTGTGCGGGTGGGCAGGAGGCCAGGCCACCCTCCGTGAGACCCCATGGATACATTATTTTAGTGCCTCACTTAACCATAATAACCTTATTTGACAATTTGAAAAAAACTTCACATTAAGACAAAGTAACAGGAAGAAAACAGAAGGAAAAAAGTTACTTTTTGGTGCTCAGTTTTTGAGACTCTGTTGGCCCGTGAACATACTGGCTTTTTTTGTCCTGACATAAACATATTTGTGATAATTAGGCTTGAGCCTGAATTGCGTCCCCCCAAAAATTACGTTAAAGCTCTAACCCTCAATGTGACTGCACTGGAGACACTGCCCTGAAGGAGGCGATGAAGGGTAAATGAGGCCGTGAGAGGGGCCCTCACCCAGCAAGACCGGTGTCCTCACACGAAGAGGAAGAGACAGCAGGAGCGCACACGTACGGAGGGCAGGCCCCGGGCCGCAGGGCCCGAGGCGGCCGCCTGCGCGCAGGAAGACAGGCTCGCCAGAGACAACGCCAGCAGCTCCCCGCTCAGGGGCTGCCCCTCCAGAACCGGGAGAAAATACACTTCTCCTGTTGGCGGCCCCCGGTCTGTAAAAGTCCGCTACAGCAGCCCAGGGAGACCAGCACGGGCTTCCTGCACGTGGGTAACTCCGGGGAGCGCGGGCCGCCCGCCACACAACTCAGGTTCCGACAGAGACTCTGCTGAGCCAGCTCCTCCCAGCGCCTCCCCGTGGCGGGTCTGTGCCAGGTCCGCTGCCTTCTTGGAACACTGGCCTCATTCTTCACAACATCCCACAGAATCAAGTTTACTTATTGTTCCAAGCCAAAACCCATTTCAAGACAAATCTTAAATTTAAAACTCAACAACTTGTAGGAAAAAATAAAACAAAAGCTAGCATTTCTGAGACTCCCAGAAGGCGCAGAACCCCCTAAGCTGAGGCTGCGAGAGCCTGCTGAGGAGGGCGCCAGCAGCTCTGCCCGCGTGGAGGGCTCGCTCGGGTCACTTGCAGAAGAAACAACACACAGAGCGAACAGACGGAGAAGATGTCTGCATGCACAAAACATGAACATATTTAAGGCAGTAAGTTTATGTATTGACAGCTGTGAAATCACTGTGAAAACCCTACTTCAGAAGTGGGAAATCTACAAAAGAAATCTACAGAAACTTTACTAATAACATAAAATGAAATAAATCAAGAACCTTTCTAAACTAGCAAGAACTCAAGAAAACATTTACTTCTTCAGGAAGCTGTCATTGATCTGTTTAAGTCACAGAAAGGATTTTACATCTTTTCTTAAGTTCCTTGGGTTGACATTTTTTCCTACCAGGGCTCCTCGGGTTATTAATACATTTTATGTGGAAAACCAATGACAGTTAAGTCTCTGTAAAAACTGAAGTAAATCAAATTCAGTGAAATAAAATAAAGAGGGAAATGGAACTGATCACACTGACTGAACACACACACGTGGCCCCGGTTCAGACACGCAGGCCTCGCAGCAGCGTCGGCTGAGGCCTGCGGCAGCCCTGCCGCCTTCAAGGCCCTCTGGTCATAGCACCTGGGCCACCTGAAGTGCTACGTACGTAAGTGTGTGTTGACTGAATGAATAAACACATTGTGTTCACATTTAAAGTCTTTGCCTTAAAAACCCTGATATGCTATTTCCTTACTGAAGCAATTCCTAAATAGCCAAGTGACTAAGCAAAACATCACACATTTGGGCTCGTAGAAGCCACGACCAAATCGAAGGTCTGAGATACCTTCACTGTCCTCTGGATTCTCCTCTTCATTGGAGGCTTCAATATCTTCGTCCTCCTGAGCAGAAACAGTGGAAGCTACACTCTCACACTGAGACACGTCTCGCTCTTCACGAGGCTTCCGTGAGGCCTAAAGGAGTAAAACAAATTATTCCAGACTTAAGTAACGAGAAAGGAAGGAAGGCAGGCAGGCAGAGTACAGGCACACACAGGCTCGAGAGCAGAGGGAGGGCTGCATGGCAGACAAGTGCTCGGGCTGGAGGGCAGTCACCCCCAGGGAACTGCCAAGTGACCGTCGGCACAGATGGGGGTTGCTTCCGTCCATCTGACATTCTGGGAACTACTCTTCGCTCCGCACAAGTACCCGCCATCACAAAGCTCTTCTCTCCCCTCCAAATAATAGTGATAAAAAGCTGATAGAAAAATCCCAGTGATTTTTTTCTAATAAAGATAACACATTTATTTTCTAGTAAAAATAACTTGTGTTGGAATGTGGAAGAAACAGAAAACCGTTAAGAAAAACAATAAACCCTCATGATTCCACCAGCTAGCGATTCTAAGCACCCTGGTGCCTCTCCTTCAGTCTCTCCTCTGTGCATCCGTGTGTGCCCATGCTACGTGCACGTGCAAAACCCAGGATGCCCTATGCAGTCATGTAGCACACCTTTTTTTAAACTAATACAATCATGAACTGAACATATCCCGACACTACAAATTCCTCAAGTTATTTTTATTAATGATTCCACAGAAACACTCTGTACCAATCTGTATTTAAAATGCTCCTATTTTAATGCACTTAGGTGATTTTCGACTTCTGGATTGTCAACAACGCTGCAGTAGCCCTCCTGCACTAGCATAAGAATTGTGCAACTTCCCTAGCAACAACTCATCACTGGTGTCACTGAATTTCTTTTACTATGAGTGAGGACACATTCCTTTTAAATTTTTTTTTAAACAGGATTTTCCCTTCTGCAAGTTATGTGTTTACATAAAACTGCTCATTCTTCTACTGAAGAGTACATGTTTATATGTAACATATATAATATACAAGCCATTGGCCATTTAATGTATTTATAATCCTGTGTCGCTAAATGTAGCACCTAAGGTCTAGGTTTGTGAAGACCCAGGCCTGGCCCTGGCAGCGGTCTGTCCTGCGCCTCTTCTAGACCCCACGTCTCACCAGACTTAGGCTGTCAGCCTCTCCCACGGGGATTTGTCAGAGACCCCTTAACATCCCAACTGTTAAAAATTACCAATATGCTCACGCTTTGTATTTTTTCTTATTCTTATTCTTACTTCAGATGTGAATACGCTACTTAGGATCCAACCTAAAGCACTGATTCAAGAAGAAACCCTTTTCCAATGTAGAGTCGCAGAGCTCGGCAGGGTTCTGAAGGCTAAACAATCCTTGCGTTCTGAACAGGGACGTGATGGAAGAACCCTCTGGCCACACTTTTTAAGAAGCTTTCAGAAGATTCCGTGAGTGCTACGTTTTCAAGCACTGGCTAACAGCTACTACATGGGTTTCCCCAGTGCCCAGCCCATGTCCCTCTGCCAATTCACCCATTCTGTTCAGCCCTTTCCCCGCTGACGACAGAAGAGACAGACACCTATCACGACTCTGCAACACTCCTCTCTTCACAGGCACTGACCTCCTACCTCGCCAAGCACTTTCTTCATTAGATGACAGTGTTCGTCTTCAATGTAATAATTCAAATACACAGAATGCAACACCTGTATGTCTTCCACTGAGTTCTAATAGATATTGGACATTCTGTCATGTTTCCTTGAGATCTTTTTAAAAATGATAAACACTCTACTCAAAGGTTAGTTGTGATGTGAAATCTGAAACCACATCAATACACGTTTGCACTCTATTAAAATCCATCCCACTGTCATGTCCTCTGGTTTATTAAAAATACTTCATGGATCGTTTATCCAGACACGACGTCCACTGGGACATCACAAGTCGGTCACTTGGAAAACACTGAGCCCCACAGCTTTTTAAAATGTAAATACGTTTCATCACAGGTTGAAGTGTCACATTAGTCATTATTGCCACTAGTCTTACCAGAAACATCTGCGAACAGTGTGAAGATGTTAAGCTCAGTGAGGGACACACATTTTGCAAAATTCTAATTTTTGCCTGAAAGCCTGGAATGTAAAAGTGGCGACAAATGCCGCTAGGCTGTTCTCCTTGAAGACACGCTCACTCATTTTTAAGAAAATATCGGCCAAACATTCAGGTCTGAAAACCATAGTTTGTCTGTCATCCTTTCAGTTAAAAATGGCATTCCATGAAAAAGGGGAGGCTAGTTCAGCCTGGAACTCAAACAGCTGCAGAAGTGCTTCTCCTGGAGAGCTGCACGCTCCAGGGCACACCAGGGGGCTCCCGCACACCTCCCGTTTTACCGCACAGACAGCTGCTCGAGGGCCAAGATTTTCTAGTCAATTTGTGCTGCTTCATCAAGGACGTTCTTAAGTCAAACTGCCATTTAAAAAAGCCCCCAAACCGCAAATGCTCGGAGCTTAAAGAATACTCTGAGCACCATGACCAGTGGTGCCCTCCAGACTGGGCAGAGGCAACAGCATGTCACTCACAGCTGCTGTGACATCGTGGATGCAAGTGTCACGACAGTGGGAAAAAGACAACTTCTTAATACTTTCATGAAAATAGTTCTGAAGTCATGGAACCCTCAAAGAGCTCTGTGGACTCTGAGAACACTGGAACTTCCTGGTTAAGAAATTTTCCATAATCTAATACTTGCTGGTTTTTACTATTTACGCCACGGAATCTTTCTGAGAAAATGTTTAATATGCCGAATCAACTCATTAAACAGGTCAACAAATGGTCAACAGAACTCCAACTAAAGTTTTCAATTCAAACTCCAAAAGGCTTATACTGTTCAAATCTAGGCTACAGTAATTCAAAAGTACTGAACTGTCATTACTGCTAAACCACTCCTTGGGCAGCAAATAAACTGGGGGGAGGATACAGCTCAGGGGCAGAGCACATGCTCAGCAGGCACGAGGTCCTGAGTTCAGTCCCCAGCACCTCCATCAAAAGCAAACAAACAAACAAGCCAAACAGTCAGTTTGTGCCAAGACACAGCAAACCCTTTACAGGAAGATGCAACTAATAAAAATACAACATAAAAAAATGTAACTCAAAACCACTCTCCGAAGCTAAAAAACCCGTTTAAGTAAAAAGCAGTACATGAAAGACCCCCCACCTCTGACATACTCACTTTCTGCTTATGCTGCTGCAAGAGGTTGTCAAGGTTATGTCGCCTTTTATAGTTGAAATAGAAGTTTTTGCACTGGGCTTCACTTTTCGTTCCCACCATTTTGGCGATTGCTGCCCAGTTACGACCATGTTCTACTAGACCTGTGTTTCAAGACCAGACCAAACATTAGTTGAACACTCATTTGATAAAGCAAGCGAGAAAGATAACAGAATCAATCGCCACGTTCAGGATCACTGACACTAAGAGTGCGTCTTCAATTACTTATCGATACACTTCAGTACTTACTGAAACGTAAACGGACACAAGACTCATAAGCAGCTCTACTTTCCTACCCAAAGGGAACGTGTGCTCATTAATGGAGGGCTTACCCTTGTCACCCATCTCCCGAGGGCGGGGCCGGCGGCAGACACACAGTAACAGCTCAAACCCTGTAAACCGAGGGCCTAGGTCCTGCTAAATCTTTGGAACCAGTATATCAATACAAAGTTAATTAGGTAATCAAATATAAGTGATTAACACAAACTAAAGATATACTTAGGGCTCCATTTATAATCAGCATGTCTTCAGTCCATTCAGTCAAGGGATGCCCTCAAAAATATTAACCAGTTCAAAAACATAATAATTGTTGCAATACAAAGCATCACAGAAACCTATGCAATCTGACATTCCTTTCATCAAATAATACATTTATGCACACGTGTATGTGCAAGGAGCATGGGAACATAAATGCATATACACAGAGACATACTTCAGATGTAGGCGTATTCAAGCAGGAATTTCCAGTACAACTTTAATAACTGATGGGAAAACATCAGTTTTTCAAGGTGAACAGAAGCAGCTTCCTTAATAATGGTAATTGGAGGATCACTTCCAGATCCTGCCTGATGTATGAGTAAGAATGAAGTATGGACACTGAGCAGTCCCAGGGAGGGGCAGCTACCTGAACGAGAGCCCTAGACAGAGCTGGCGTCTGCTTACTTCACCACGACACTGTGATGAATGGGTGAGAACAACACATGTGACCACAACCACCACAAACTTGCCAATCGCGGCAAATAAACCTCAAATAAAAGTATTTTGAAGACAGAACACTTCAAACTGCTGTATTTTTGACAAAGGTGGTTCATACGATTCTCAAATGTATCACTAATAGAAATACGTTATTGCTAAATAGAAAATAAACCTGAAGTGTGTCACTAAAAGATCAAGCTGTTTGCAGTAACTTCTCTCTAGAACTACAAGGGAAATCCTCAACCCCTAAGGAGTTGGTTAATCTTCCCAAGGTTATTCTACTTTAAAAATAAATTATTTTTAGTTATAAAACAATTACTTATCCTATTAGGAATTTTAGTTCAACTTCAATTTGTGTGACATTTATGAGCAACAGCAGGAAACTCTAATGCTGCAGAGAGATGAAGCGTCAGCCGTGGACGTGTCAGAGGCAGGATGGAATCAACCTTCGTCTGTCTGGTTACAAAGTTCATGCTCTCTCCTCCAGACCGCAGTGCAATCCCCCAGCGGTTTATAGTCAAACGCCTTACCAAAATCAAACTGAGAAAGTATCTATCGTTCTATTAAATGCAACTTCAATAATAAAGACTTTTTATATCAACGTCTTCCAGAACAACTTTAATAGCATTGAATCACAACTGTTCTGAAAAACCAAAAACGGCTTGCTTGCTCTCTAATAAAACACACAAAATAAAATGAAAGAGAATCTTAAATTCCTCAGAAGTGGGCCTCTTAAGCAAGGCCCGCTGGGGGACCTTACAGGGTGTCACACCACCAAAAAGCAGTAAGTACACTCCTGAGTTCTATTTATCACTGTGGAAGGGCTTCTCTTTTTTTCCAACTAAAAAGCCATTAGTTCTGCCTCGTTCATTACTAATTACCCTAAAGAAAAAAACAGCCCTGAGGAACCCGGACTACTATCATTTACCTTTCTTAGCAACTTCCATCTCCTCTTCTGTCCACCGGGAGGTTTCTACAGGTTCCGCAGAGACTGAAACAGAGAGCGCTCAGTGAGGCAGGGGAAAACCAAGGTAAGCCTTCATTATCAATCATGACACACCAACCACGCAAGCTGTAAGCTGTTCGTGGGACATGAAGCCTGTTTAAAGCTTTAGGGGAAGGAAACTGCGGAAACAGGAGCGTCTCAGCCCCTCCCTCGCCAAACTAGAGGGGGACCCCACACCCCACACCCTCAGCACTCTCTCTGTGTTGTGTAACGCTGCATCCAGTGAAAAGAGGGACCACAAACTGAACACTTCCTCTTCACTACAGAAAGAAAACTGAGGTTATCAGCCCTGAACCGAGCCCCTGCTGTCTTCCCCTCACAAGTAACAGCGCGACCACCCACAGGCAGGCGCTCAGACTGACTTTCACATCCTCCCTCCCATCCACCCTCCTGAGACAGCCCTGCTCGCCGGGCCTCGGCGAGCACAACACCGCCGTTCGGCAGGCCCGCCGCCTCCAGCCCCACTCTGACCTCACCTGCACGCGGGCACCAGGGCTATTCTTCTGAAAGAGCAGTCTAGTGACAGATCCTCTATTTAAACACCTCTGTGAGCTCGCTGCTCTGTCAGCAAAGCAGGATATAATTCAAACAAAGCCCTCCGCAAGCTGCCCCCACCTGCCTGTCTAATCATCTCTCCCATCCATCCTTGTTGCTCCCAGAACCTGCGTCTTCTCTTGTGCTTCACGTTATGATAAACTGGGACCACTGGTGGTCCTCATCATTAACATGATCTCTCTACAAACTACCAAGACGATCCTTAGTGAGAGAGAAAAACGCCTGGACTTTCAGACGCAGTATTCCCTTGTCTAAGAATTTATTCCTGTGAAAAATAACTTAAAAGAAGGAAAATGCTATGTGAATAAAGTTTTTTCATTACAGTGCTATCTGTTATTAGTTTAAGGGGGGGGGGACAACCAACTCACTCAGCAACAAGGAATGGCTCAAGAAATCGTGCCTTAGAAGAAACAATGGTGACATTGCACAGCCACCAAAAAGTGAACAAGAGGTCGCTGAGAAACTAGGAAACACCCACATGCCAAGCTGGAGCAGAAGGGAGCCAAGCGGCACACACACTAGGGTTACAGCCCAGTCCGAGAGAACCAGCTATGCGAGTGCAGCAGGCCTGGGCTGACACTCTTTCTCGAAGGTTCTGACGTCAAAGTCCAACACATTCAAGGCCAGGGTTTCAGACCAGTATTTCCAGGCTGTCAGTGCCAGGGGTCCCTGTCGCCTCACCCCAGCGCTGAGACGGAACCCCACACGAAGCCACGGCCCGCTCGCTCGTCTCGTGCACTCACTGGGCTCTGGTGGCGGTGGCAGAGGCGGCGGGGGCTCCTCGGTGGCCGCGGCGGCTGCAGCGCTGGCGGCGGCAGCCTCGTTGGTCATGGACCTGGTGACCCGGCCCTTGCGGCGGCCCTGACTGTTGGCCGTCTTCCGCCCCCGGGGCGTGGCCTGCTCCCTCTCCTCAGTCTCTTCTGCTGCACCATCAGTCTTGTCCTTCTCCTTGGGGTTTTCTCTAGTAAAAACAGCGAACGGAACTTCTGTGATTCAGAAGTGCACATACCTCAAAGATTACAGCTTTGAAAACTCTTCAATACAAACTGAATAAAACCACGCTCTCTCTCAGGCACTTGGACTTCCCATCAGTACAAACTGAACCCTCCCAAAACAGGCTCCTCCTCACCCCTGCTTCCTGCCCCTCATCTGATACGAACGGCACCATGCTGCTCATAACCACTCCCTTCACAGACCTGACAGCACCTCCAGCTCTTCCCCTCCTTCTTTACTTCCTGTGTGGACCAGTGCCACATTCTGCTCACTGCACCTCACCACTCTGCCTCTGCTCCCCACTACCCCCGTGCCTGTGCAGGACCTTTGTCCCCCATCCACCATCCCAGCACAGCCGCCCGATTCACACCTCCGCTCCATCCGTTCTGTGCTGCTAACAGATCAGTATTATAGCAGAAAGCCTGGCAATAAACCCCTTCACCCATTCCAGTCTTGCCTCCCCTCACCAACGGGGCCACAAGGACTCCTCAGTGGAGTCTACACGTGGGTGTTCATTCAGGCTTTACACAGACGAACCCCCGCCCACCTTCCACTTCTCTTCTTCAGGCACCCACGTTCCAGTCCAATGAAACCATCACCCGCGATTTCTCAAAGAGGCCTATCCGCCCACACTGCTCCCTCTGCTCTGCCCACACGATCCTCCAGCTCCCGCGTGACGTCCTCCACGCTGTCCAGGTGGCACAGGTGAACCTCGGCCTCCCCGCAATCTCCTCACGTGCTTTACTGGTTCCAGCCATTTCTTCCAGGCTCTTTTCTTTTGCTTAAAGAGTACCCGTATCTGGCCTAATTTCCTTACTAGATCATAAGCTACCCAGGAACAGCGTGCATCTTACGCATTTCTGCATCCTCCATAAGCCCCAGCTCGTGTCAGTGATAAATGAGTGTTTGTTAAATAAATTAAGAGATTTTAAGAAAATAGTAAAATCAAGAGATGATGGTTCCATATGACCAGAACCCACGGACCATGTGGGAGGATAAAGGTTTAACCTGACTTTAAAAAAAAAAATTTTAATAGCGATCATCTTCCTAAAGCAGAAAATTAGAATGGCATGAGTATCCAACTCTCTTAAAAACCACGTCAAGTGATTTAGGCTCTGACACAGACCTTCATGATCTCCAAGAGGATTACAGAAATAACGCAATAAATATTAAAAAGAAGCAAACCGCTAACACGAGCAATAGCCTGTACGGCTCTCGGACGAGTGCTACGTAAAAGCAGCGACACCACAGGAGACCGACCTGCTGTGTGACTCCGCTCATGTGAAACTCTAGAAAAGGCAAAGCAGATCAGCCGTCACCAGGGGCTGGGACCGGGCGGAGGGAAGCCAGCGCGAGGGAGCACTGGGGGACGTCCCGGGGTGACGGAAACGCTCTAAGTCACGACTGTGATGGTCACACCAGTGCATACACTTGTCAAAATGCATCAGCATGTACACTTACAACTGCTGAAATTTACTCTATGCAAACGATGCCTCAATGAAGCTGATCCTGGAAGGAAAAACTAACACACCAGGGGCTGAGGGACCCCCAACCCCGGCAGAGTACATACACAAAGGCACCAGCAGTAGCCGACTCTGAGAGGCAGGGTCACAGGTTAATTTTCTTTGTATTTTGCCCTCTTTTCCTGACTTTCTAAACTGAGTACGAATTACTTTTATAGCCAGGAAAACAGTAACCACCACCACAAACAAACCAGAAAGTCAACTTTACATGGAAAATGAAGTCAACGAAGCTGGACTGTAAGGCATTATATAAATTAAAACCATTTATCAGCATTTTTGCACTAATGTATACTACTTGAGATTCAAAAACAAGATCCCGAGGTACCGTCTGAATCAAAGATTAAATCATATTCAGTGTCTCTCCACGACAGTGCCCACTACTGCAGCCAGCTCTTCTGAAAAGCAGTAGCTCGTGTCTGGCAGTCAGTCCATTAAGTCAAAAGTTCTACGTCCTGGAATATTCCGTTCCTTAATTACATCAGGTAACTATCAGACGGTCACAACACACACCCCATTGATTCTTTTATCTAAAATGTTATACCTCCAATAAGGTTTAATCTCATTACTTAAAAATAACTACAACATTTAATTATTTAACTCACTTAGAGTCCTCCTTTTCATCTTTTTCTTCTTCATCTTTCTTCTCCTCTTCTTTTTTTTCTGTTTTTTCTGCTTTATCTTCTTCTTTTTCTTCTACTTTTTCTTCTTGTGAGGGTCGGGCAATTTGCTGCTAGAATGAACCATCATTTGTAAAACTGAAAGGTTAAAGGAATCCTCCTCAAATTGTAATGATGAATAATAAATATCTACACAAAAATTTAATATCCAACTAACATATTAATCATCTGCAATGTAATCAAGGATCATGTATTAAAAATCAGTCTAACAATCTTTAATATTGTCTATATGTGTTGCTTAAAAGGCCACACGCGTACACTCACAGTGCCTGGACCCATCATGGAAATGAAATGTTAAGACTGCACTTAGAAATCTAAGGATGGTACTGTCTTTTTGTAATTCCCACATCTAATCTGTCACTCAAGCATTTCAATTCTAGCTTGAAATCTGATGAACTCTAATTTATCAAACCATCCCTACTAGTGTTAGACACTTACTATGTTCCCAATTTTTCCCTCAATGTGGGTACTACTACAAGAAACATCTGCATGCTTTTACTCCTTTAGGGCAACATTCATTTAATGGAATAATAGATGGCTGTGGTCATTATCAAGACCAAAGCAATTTGGAAAAATACTAAGAGTAACATAGAGCAAAAAGTAAAACACTCAAGTATGTCTAAGCTGTTAACAACTGTGTAACTGTCAATATGTGTACAGACAGGCCAGAAGACACTAAAATTGTGGACTCCTGATCTTTGAGTCTCATTTGAACAAACTATGACTCTAAAAGACAAAAGTGAAATTGAGTTTGTGTCGAGAATTACCATTTTTGTTTAATTAAGAAATCAAGACGTCTGGCCGAACAGGACTGAAACGCACTCATCAGGACACGCACGGCCGGCCCGTGTGCACCTCCTCCCAACCCCCAACAAAGCAAAACTTGCTGATTCTTCACAGCAGCTCAAAGTCTTTCACTCACTTACCCAGACTAAAACCTAGCTGCTTCTGCAAAGTGACAGAGGCCTTCCCGGCCTCCCCAAGAGGCCCCACCTTCCGCCGCCTGCTGGCCCCGGTGCAAGGAAGAGGAATCCGCGCCCTCCCTGCTCCCTACGCCGCTTCTGAACACGGATGAGCTGCAGCGTTTCACAGGTGCTTCCTTCCACAGCTCTCACAAACCTCCCTCGACGCCCTCCGCCCTCCGGCGCAGGACTGACTTTCGGAAGACGCCGGGTAGCACAAGGACAACCTGACCACGAGGCTCTTTACGCCCGTCGGTGCCTTTTCTGCCAACACTAGTCCCGTGCGAGGCGCCCCGGCCACGCCCACTGCGCCCCACAGGGCACCGCCTCCATCAGTGGGTGTGTCCTCACCGCCAAGATCCACAGTCTCCCACCCACCACCACTACGCCCCACTCACCCTTCATTTCCACTGTGGCCAAGCCTGCGTTTTGTCTTCGCGACCTCTGATCCCTTTATTCCAGGAAATTCTCAGAGTCCGTAAAGAACTAGAGCCACCATTTCAGTCCACCCTCTGCTAAACTGTTTCAATACCAGGGTCCACTCACCCGCCTTACCTGACCCTCCCAGCGTCTCGCCCTGGCAAAGTGCCAGCTTCTTTCTCTCATCAGCACATATTATCACCCGAGAAAACGAAGAAATCAGGAAGGCTTCCAACCTGCACTCTCCAACCATGCTCTGCTTCACACGCAGGAATGTTTTCTTCATCTCCGGCTGCCCAGCACACAGCACAGTGGGCACCAGACCTGTTTCGCCCCTACCATCTGTCACTGAGCCGACAAGGTGGACGACCACTGACACACTCTGCCCTCTGTCTAGCAAGTGGGCTTAACCAGAGAACAGTTCATAGCCCCCAGGAAATGGCGGCAAGGTGTCAATACAGCCGGAGACGAGGAGTCCCTTAGACTTGGGCAGTACATATAATTCTATCCCCCAACACCTTTCTGCTTCTAATGCCAATCAAGGTTTGGAAGAACGTAAGCCACCCTCACATTCCCGGCTGCCTGAAGCCAGCCAAGCAGACCGTCCTCCCCCTCCGTGGGGCTGGGACTGAGAGGCAGTTGGAGCAGTGGCTTCACCAGTCCAGGGGAGGGAGAGGGCAGGGCCCCCTCTGAAACAGCTCCCAGCTCTGCGGAGAGAGGCAATAACCTGGAGAAAGTGGAGAAGCAGTTGGACGGGGCCTGGAGAAGGGAGTGACGCCTCTAGACAGAGCCCTTCGCTCAGCCAGGCACCACCTGCAGCAGTGAGTGGAAGGGGGTGCAAGGGAGTGGGGCCAGGGAGCACCCACCGGGGCAGACGCACACCAGGACCCACAGTGATGCCTGCCGCTGACACTGAGCAGAGGAAGGAACAGCCTCTGGGTTTAACAAGCAGTGGCGGGAACTGCTGCTGTTTCAGGCAGACCTCTGAGGAAAAGTGCTGGTCCCCATGGCCCGGGGTCCCCGTGGTCCAGGACAGGGGCTACAGCCCATGTCCCTCAGCCCTGTCAGCGGGCTGGCTAGGGCAAAAGCCCGTGGTTTCAAGAGGAAACTCTTCAAGGGTCCCCTGAGAGACACAGGCGCTCCCAACAGCTTCCTGTCCAGGTCTCTCCCTCCTTAAGCCCAACACTTAATAGTCAATAAAGAAAGTTTCATCTGTTAGGGAGGCTCTTCTAATATGAAACATTTCTGTTAAACAGTAAGCTATTCACTATGAATGCCAGGGCACATTATAAAGCAAAATGAAAATTCCAACTAAAAAAGTGCAAGTTACATGTATTTCATGACGGTAAACGGAGAATGAGATCAGTTGCGGCAGGGCCCTCTAGAGCAAGAGCAAACAGCAGTCTATGCTGCGATGTACTGCCACTGCGTCCCACTGGGCACCTAACATTCACACATTCTGCTTCTATTCGCTAAAGTGCTCAAGTCTTCGGAAAGCAGATAAATGAATTTCCACTCAGCAGACGATGAAGTTGCCAAGAAACGGAAAGATTAAATTTAAGAACAAGTAGCTGGTTAACCACGCATGTGAGACAGAAAGGATGAAGGGCTACTTCAGCCACCAAGTGCTTTTGTTAACGGTACTTCAGGCAGTAAACAGAAAACATCTTATGCCAATCTTATCAAAACATATTAATAACTAATGCCTTTAAACCACCTGAGTTTGAGACTACTTTCCCCAAGAGTGAAAGCTGTCAATCACCAAAAACCCCTCCTGGTGGAAGGTGGGAGGCAGCGGCCATACCCCAGCCCCCGGCTGTGCACACACACACGTGCGCACTCACGCTGCCGTGGCCCGCGGCGTGTCGCTGCTCCCGCTCGCGCAGGGTGGAGGCCAAGGCCCACCACATGAAGGGGCACGTCCAGGCTGTCACAGACACACACGGCCTCTGGGCGTCTACAGCTTTCCCCAGCTGTGTAACCTCTCTAAATCATCCTTTCTAACCCGTGTAGAGCCAACAGTTTAGTCAGAGAGTTGTCCAACTTCAACAACTGCTCCATTTACGTAAGTTTGTGCATTCTGGACCCCTCTGGGGACTAAAAACACGACGGCATACTTAACAGGTAAGACGTTGGCAGCATGGAGGAGTATAAATTGTCGGGGAAAGTAATCAAGTATCTGAAAATGAAGACTGCGGTTTCTAACAATGACTAGCAGGGACCACAGTCATTTTATCTGCATAGGGACAGACTTATCAGATGGGAGTTTATGCTGGAAAGTAAGACAGAATTCTTGTAACAAAAATGTTATACATAGAATCAAATTACCACTTGGCATGTTATTTCTATTTCTGGATGCCAAATACTAACACTGAAGAGTGGCTTTTGACCCTCAACCTCAGATACGCATTCGCTGCTTCAACTAAAACTGATGAAGAACCCCACTCAGCCCCGTCACAGGAGGCCAACAATGCCAACGGTAAACATGGTTTGGGCAGTAGCTAACAGAATTTTGAGAGAAGAGTTAAAGCTTTTGCCAACAATCATCTTGGAAGACAGCTGTAACAGAAGTATGATTATCTCTCATTTCCCTATGATCCTAAAAGTAAAGCTCAGTTTCTGAGTAAATGATACGCAAGTTTCCTTAAGGCAAGAGCAGGTGAAAAATCCAACCTCACAGATGTGGAATCTCTCAGCCAACAGCACACTACATATTCACCTGCTAAATAAAAATTCCTTCCTACAGGAGAGAGGCTGGGAGTGGGGCGGGGGGGTGGGGGGAGACGCAATCAAACACAAACGTAAGGACAGAGCACAACCTCGGTGGAGCCCAGGCCTACAGCCGGGGGTAAATCTGCTCCCCCGGCACCGGGGTTACCGGGGGAGGGTCCCTGCTGACTCAGACCTGACTGGATAACGGAGCGGCAAAGCAGGTTCAAGTCAGTGGGTTTCCGTATCCGCCAGGGTAAAACGCTGACTGAAGAATTCTTAACTTGTAAACATGCTTTTTTTTTTAAAAAAAGTCTTTCTAAATTTTTTTCTATACAGCAAATTCTCTATTTCCAACCAAATCTTCTTCCTACACTGGAGACTCCTGTATCGAACTGCCCACTTTACACCTCCACGTGGATGGGTGTAACGGGTACTTAAGTTCAGCAAGTGCCGATTTCCCCCCAAATCAGCTCCTCTCTTCCTTCAGCCACACCCATCACAGCAACTCCACAAGCCGAGACTTGGCTTGTCTCTGCTAACTGTCCTTGTGCCCACACAATCAAGCTGTCAGCAAAACCTGCTGGCCTCACCTCCAAACACATGTCCAAACACTGACCAGTTCTCCCCAGCCCACCACAGTCTAGTCCAAGCCCCTGAAATCATGAAACTAACCCCCACTGGCCTCCCTGCGCCTTCCCTCGCCTCCCTCACAGTCTAGTGTCAATGGAGCAGCTGGAAGGAGCCTGTCCCAGCTGGGATCTGGTGCTACTCTTCTGCTCCCAGGCCTCATGGCTGCTGCGCTCACCCAGCATGGGCTCCGGTCACTCAGTGCCACAGGAGAGCGCCCAGAAACGACCACCACCTGACTCCCGAAGAACTGTCCCTCTGTCTCGACACAAGCAATGAAGAAACAGAGATAAGATTCTATTAGTCCGGAATGGTAGTTTAAGTCCACCCTTTAACTCCCTCCTCTCCCAAACTCCCAGTAAAACCACCAGAGAAATTTAAAAGTCAAGGAAAAATCAAGATAATCCTGTAAAAGCTAATGTGAACAGGACTAGCCGGCTGGAACGGCTGCCCAGGGCAGAACCGAGCCCACCTGGGGGCAAGCATCCTAAGGCTTAGGTCAGCGTGAGGGCGCACAAGGACGACCTAAGTTCTGCAGGTGAGAAGGGGTGGGCACACAGGACAGGACGCGAGAAGAAAGCACCACGGTGGGGGGTGGGGGGGGTCCACAGGACAGGTGCCCACAGACGGGGTGAGACGGTGCCCTGGAGAGGACGGGAGACAAAACCAAAGTTTCACCGTAACAGAGACACTCGCTGTCACACAGAACTTCCTGCTCAAACTTTCTCCTCCATCATCACAAGCAACACACTGCTAACTGGCAAAGGGGAGGCATGATAAATATCAAACTGTCTCCTGACGTTCATTATCTGGACTGAAAAAATTGATGGTGATACATACAATTTCTAAAAATAAACGTTATAAATGCTAGTTTGTAATAAGGAAGAAAGCCATTGTTAAAAATCAGTAGCTGAAACCTGTTTAAACCATCTCTGGCTGCAGGCCCTGGACTCCAGGGCCCCCAAGGGCACAGACGCAGCCCGGCCCTGCATGGGGAGGCACGCCCTCCCCGCGGGTCCCCATGTCCCCGGCACTGCTCCTGCTCCCCACGCACTCCCCTCCTCAGCCTCCCTGTCCTTCTGTGGGGGGGCAGCCCTGATGGAGGAGGGACCCCTCCGGCCCTACACTCCCCTGAGCCCCTCGCTCCCTTAGTTCCCAGCAGCGGCCACCAGGCGGCTGGCCAGCCATGGGGCGGGGGGCAGAGCAGTCTCTAAAGTACTGATACTGAACTGCACGCACGTGTGGAAACACATACTACACTGTATTAAAAACAATCTTTTTAGGTCGGTGCTTTGTAACACTTAAACTACCTAAACCCCAGAAGAGAAGTTAATCTGAAATAAAACCAGGTCCCAGGTATCTGGCTGAACAACCCCTGCTGCCAGCACCAGGCGGTACTTCCCTCCTTGCCCCACCTGCCTCTCCTCAGACGAAACGCCGGGTGAAGACGGGTAGCACATAAGGTGTCATGTTCTCATTATTAATTACATTATTAGTGTTAACTCTGACATATGCAATTTCAATAGCATGGACATATCAAACTTTCCTTATCAGTTTTACTATGCTAGAAACTTAAATTAATTCAAAATAGAAAATATTAACACATTAAATATGTATTAACTTCAAAATAATGAAAAACATGGTCATAACATCCTAATTAACAGAAACGTCAATCCCTCAAGTGCAGTTATGACATACAAGTCTCCTGTGATAACATTTTTCATGCTCCTATTTCCATCAGTCCTGAAGTAGCGTCCACATAATAATGAAACACACCTGGTTTCTTCCTCGGCGTTTTCCATAGTTTCTTCTTACTAGGGCTTTATAATTCTCATTTTTCTTGGTTAAGTAGTAATACAAAACACAATCAGGAACACTCTACAAAAAAAATTCTTTTTGAGGATCCAACAAAATAAAATTTTTTAAAAATCAAGTATCGCTTTGGAGGAAAATCTCCAGTATCCTCGAAGTATAACTTGAAGAAAAACACACAAAGCATAACTAGGCTCTAAAAATATATATACTGTATCTACTATTTTAATGGACAGTTACAGCTGTCTTCATACAAATTATGGAAAAGATACCAGGAACTATTAGAACATACAAGCACTTTATTAGCCAGTATCTAAATTATCTTTCTTCTTGCACATATGTAAACATTCAAAATGTCTCTTAAAATATTTTGCTCAAAAACACTACGTCCAATCTATTGTGAAAAAAATTCAAGGAAAATCAGGACTCTGAAATTTTAATTAGAAATTTAATGAGGTTCAAAAAGCACTGTAATCTATGTGTTTTTATGGAAATATAGTATCAGGTCATTTTTCGTTAACCATGAAAATGAGTCTGTGTCTGCTTAGAATCTGTCATCGTCTAATTGTAAACATCACTGAACTATGCATGTGAGAATCTTTTCTGTATCAAGCCCTCTGCAAAAATCAGTTCTATCTAACTACTTCTGCACATCAGAACACAAAAGTTCCAAAGCAGCAACCATCACAAACTTGTAAACATTCATTTCTTACCTTTCTTTCCAAGTAAGATGCAATTAGTCCAAAGTTTTTTGGATGCTGGATAAACCTGAGTAAAAGAAAAACAACACACAAACATTTAACCGCTTAAAAAGAGGGGGAGACACACTTGGGAACAGAAATGTTATGCAGACTAATTCCTAGTGACTCCTAAACGCCCTCAGTGCCCTTTCAGAGGGCAGGCTCCTGGGCACTGTCTGCCTGAAACAGCTGGACTGGTCTGTGGAGGGGCACAGAAATGCTCCCCGGGTGACTCAGATGCCACCCAAGTTTGGGTACCACTCTTAAAATAACTCCATAAGCCCATTCCTACCTGTTACCTATGTCCCCACCTATAAACGTACGGGAAGATCAGGGAAGATCACATCGAATCCATCCTCTCTGCTTTTCACAGGGTCCATTCAAACTCCAAACAGGGCCAAGTTTTGGCGGAAACAGTTCAACTTACAAGTAAATGCTAATACCTTTTACTAACTTTCGTAAGCTTTTATTAGAGAATAACTTAAAATTCAAATTACTTGTCCTTAAAGATCTCCTTCTCGTGGTCAGTCCAAACATTCATGAATTGCCTGTCTTTGTAAACCTTCATAGGATCTTCCATCAGCCCATTCATGTTGATGAACTTGACCCGTCTTTGTTCTGCATCAAACATCATAGGGGGGATCACGGAGAGCTGTCGCATTTGTTTCTCATTATTCTGCGGAAAAAAAAAAAAGGAAATGCAATTTACACAGAATAAAATGTAAAGAAATCCACACAAAAACACCAGGTATGTAGTTTAACGACAAGAGCAGTGGTAGCATAGAGGGGAGGGTATAGCTCAATTGGTAAAGCGCGTGCTTAGCATGCCTGAGATCCTGGGTTCAATCCCCAGAACCTTCTCTAAGAATAAATAAATCTAATTACCTCCCCACACCAAACAAACAAACAAAAAAGAGCAGTGGTACCATAACACCTAACATACAGCAATTACACACATATCTAGTAAATACTCATTGGAACAGCAGAGGCAGAGTGCACACTTCTTTTTTTATAATCCACTACTACAATCTGAGAAGAGGTCTTTCCTTAAGTGAAGCTGATACTTCAGTTAATAGATTCTGGACCTAAAGGACACGTAATGTCAGTCACAACCGTGACAACTGTGAAGCATTCACTAACGCTGACTCATTTTAGCAAGTCTCAACGTCATTTTAGAGAACAACAAACAGAAAACTAAGCAGACACCCAAACTTTAAGGTCACTGATTTTAAATTAAACTTAACGAAGCATTAAACACCTCCTGCTAATCTTACGCAATCCTTCCATTGAAAATTTAAGACTACTATTCTTAGAATTTCAATGAAAACTTTTACTTTTATAATTTTTCCCCAAAGTTTAATTCAGTAAGTTTATAAGCACAAACTTCCATGAGAAAACTTTAACCAAACTTGTAAGTACTGACCCCAGTACAAGGCGAGGTTCTTCCCTGAAACTTTCCTCACAGAAGTGGACACTGTCAAAGTCAAGTCCTTACAAAGGCTCTAATTTCACAGGGGACACTCAACCGGTTTGAACACCGAAGTGTAGTTTGGGGCAGACCCATCAGCTTGAAATCACCCCCACTGTCACCAGTTTTGGGTGTTTACAGGTAACCCCTAGAGAATCAGTCCAAAAATGGCCAAGAAATTTGGCACAGATTTAGTCATCACTGCAAAGACTACTGCCACAAATTCTGAAAGATACAGCAGTAAGAAGTGTCTGTGACTATTGAATAAGCATGACTTTCAGAATTTAGAGATGAGGTTTTAAAAAAGCCGTATTATAAAATCAAAACTAGCAAAACTCAACAGATAGTAGGTGGCTTTTGGACCGACCTTCAGAGCTAGTGTGAACACAGCCTGGAAGACTCCATGTTAGGACCTGACATCTGCTCCTGCTCAGCGCTGATTCACTGGCATCCTATCACTCCTCTCCCCCAGGCTCTCCCCCGGCTCAGCTGGCCAGAGACCCCCTCCGGGCACTCCCCAGAACCTCAGGTTCACAACGTACCAACACCTATAAGACACACACTCCTTTGCTATTTTAGGAAACAGCACCACCAGCTCAGTCCTCTGACCCCGAAACTAGGCAGCCACTGTCCACGTCCTTCTTGCCCCCACCCTCGTCCGTCCATTCTCCCTGCTGTCGGCCCCCTCCCCCCCACCTCTATCACAGCTGCCCTGACTCAGGTCCTTGCTTTTACCCTAACAGCCTCCTTACCTCTTTCCAGGCCTCCCTGCCGCCAAGGTCATCTTTGTAAAATGCCAATAAGATGACACGGCTGCCTTGTTTAAAACCTTTAATGACTAGTCACAAACTCTGGGACAATCCAAACTCCATAGATGTTCCCTCATTTATATACAAATAAACTCTTACTTCATGCAGTGTGAGGCTAAAATGTCTCAATAATCAATGAATTAACTTGAATTAAAATCGATGAACTGTCTTACCTCCTGTTCAGAGAGCCCATCAATGATTTCAGAAATCTCATGTTCACTCCTAGCGATGGTGGCTGAAAGGCCAGCTCCCCTCTGCCCAACTCTAAATGTGAGGGGGAGATCACAGACATATTTAAGGGCCTTTTACAAAGAAGACATACCAATCACATTACTTTCACATTGATTCCCTTTCAGGACAGGACTTTTTGTACCCAGAAGCCAGGGAAGAAACCTGAAGTGCTAGTGAGTAACCCCCTTTGAGCCACGTTTTGGCCATCTACCTGCACAATTAGTAACAACTCAAATGCTGAGATTAAGATTCGAGGGTTCCATGTTCCAAGTGCAAATGGCAGAACTATTATTCATGGGAAACTTTTGGTAAACCACAGTTACAGGTGTCATTTCCATTTCAAATAGCAGTCTTCTGTCTGCCTTCCAGAGAACAGAAAAGCAGACTTAGATAGACACACAGAACATGTATCAAGGGAGGGAGAAAGACACAATCACCCTCCCTCACAAAACCTCCACTGTCACTAGAGGGGACTGACTGCACCGCTCATTTACACGAGGCAGTGAAGAGGGAGGCGAGGGCTCTGCCACTGCACACACGTGGTTCTCTGAAAGCAAAGAACCAGTCAGAAACTATGCACCCACATCAAAGCACTTCTGAATTAACAAGCAGTTTAATACTTCTGATTATGCTGGGAGGTTAACGAGGGACTGTGAAATACCCAAGTCTATTCTTATTAACCGTCATTTCCCAATGAATGGGCATTTTCAAGAACTGAAGAATTAATTTGAAAATACTCACTTAAATTTGGATTAAACAGCATTACCAAATATAAAAAGTTAAAACTAAACTCACCAAGGCATGAACTTTGCTAGCAGATAATTAAGTTTTAGGTTCACAATAAAAGTTCCTCATGAACTGTCTTAATAATTAGATTCCAGAAACGGTGAACGCTGAGAAAGACCGGAAGCAGGACTGAAAGGGACACGGCGAGGCGCGCGGCACCGCCCCGCTTACCGCTGAAACCGCTCCTGCTGCTCCCGCTGCTTGCGGATCTCCGGGAACTGCTTCTCGTAGTACTCCCGCGTCTTGCTCTCTCTGGCTTTCCTCCGCGGGTTATTTTCCATTCTGTCCACTTTCTTCTCCCACGCCTCCATGAGCTGATCGTAACGCTGGCAGATTTTTTGTTCCTATTAAATACCCGTAGCAAATTAATAATTACACTAAACTCCACGATTCTGACAAACCTAATTTTAAAGTCAATGTTACTTCTTAAGGCTAAGTCAGAAGTACACTCGGGCTATAACTGTGCACAAAAAGCTGTCCTTGATCTGAAAAAGGAGAGAGAAAGGGAACATTTTCTACGCAAGATCAACACAGAACCTATTCTGGCTGCATTTTTAAGTTAACTTTAAGACTGTACAAATTACAAACTGTACGATGAGCCGCTACTGGCAGGTGGCCAGCTACGATTACTACTTTCCTGATGACAAACTACACCTTCATTACAAAAAAGACGGAAAATTAGAAAGAGAAACGTGTGAACAGTTCCTAATCCCAGAGGCAACGGTGTTAACATTTTGCTGTTACCTTTCCCGTCTCTCAGAGGAAACACGCACACTTAACCCGCTCCTCCACTGCTGGGAGCTTGGGTTACTTGCTTTTCCTTATTATAAATGACGTCATATAATGAACACTTTTGACAGTCCAGAAAAGACAGGAATTGGTTGTACTTTATGATAAAAAGAAATCCAGTAAACTGCGTGAAATTAAGAATTCATGCTTTTAGAGAAATGAGTAATGTATGATCTCATTTTCTAAATAGAGAAGAAAAGAATGACTCGAACCCTCCACTACAGCCCAAAGTGTGTGAGGGACCCACGGAAACCTGCTCCCACTGCCATCTCAAGGAAGTGGCACCAGAGGACAGCACGGTCCTCCTCACCTCCTTGCCTGTCCTCTGGGCTCTGCACCTTCTCTCCAGCTCTACCGCCACCCCCCTCATCTGGAGCCAACTCTGGCCTCCTACATGACTCCCTCGCCTCCTGAGCGCTGTGACCAGATGCAAAGTCTTAAAATACAAACCTGAGTGCTTCACTCCCTCAATTCAAACCCTTAACAGATGCCCTCAGGATCTCACCCAGAGTCCCCGCGTGACCCCAGCCTCCCGCAGCGGCCAGCCCAGTGCTCCGCCTGAACCTGCCACACTCCCTCCTCGCCCCAGACCTTCACTTCAGCTGCTCCCTCTGCTCGTTCCGTCTCCACAGTACTGCTTTCTGGGGGCACATCCCCTCACGATTCCAGTCTACATCAGCTGCCCTGCGCCACCGCATGACCACAACACGGTCACCTCCTGCTGCCACAGTGGCCCCGCTGACACCTTGGGCTCCCCAAGGGCTAAAGCCATGTGGCCCTCCTGCTCCCGTCGTAGGATGATACGTGGGACAGAAGACACAGCCAGTAAATGATCATTAAGCCTATCAGTGAGCAAACAAACTTCACACTAAATACCATGAGGTGTGAAAACACAGTCTGTGCCTCAGTGTTTGCCTCTCCAGATCGCAAATTTAGCAATCACCACAATTACAACAAAATTACTGGATAGAGAAAAAAAGCCGGGGGGGAGGGTGGGTATAGCTCAGTGGCAGAGCACCAGGTCCCAGGTTCAATCCCCAGTACCTCCATTAAAAAAATAAGTAAGTAAATCACTCTGTTATCACCTTCCACACACACAAAAAAACCTTAGCTGACTTCTTATTTAATATTTGTACGTTCTTGGCCAAAAAAAAGTGAAGGCCAGTAACTTAAAGTATCTGATGTAGAGAAGGAACTAGTGTTTCCCAGTGGGGAGAGGGAAGGGGGAGGGGCAAGACAGAGGTGGAGGAGTCAGAGGTACAAACCATCAGGTATAAAATATGCTACAAGGGTGGGCTGTACAACATGGGGAGTGTGGCCAATGTTTTACAGTCACTATAAATGGAGTATAGCCTTTAAAATTTATGAATTACTATACTGTGTATCTGTAATGTATCATACTGTACATCAACTATTCAATTTTTAAAATATGATATTGTAAAATAAATACATAAATAAATTTTTAAAAATAAAAATTTCTTTAAAAAATTATCTGAAGCATTAGGCTGGCAAATCAGAACGTTAGAAGTTACGCATCAAATAAAACCTGCTGACCCCTGAGCTCTACAATTCATTAAACTGTCAGGTCCTTTCACATAAGATACAAAGTTCATTTCTGATGTGAATCAAAGAGCATCACTGTGGGGGGAGGTAGAGCTCAGTGGCAGAGCGCATGCTCAGCATGCACAGGGTCCTGGGTTCAATCCCCGGTACCTCCGTTAAAATAAACAACAACATCATTTATTCACTAGACAACAATTTAAGTAAGTCATTTGTCTAAAATTAGTATGAACATACTATAAGAACAAGAATACCAGCATTATATTTTCTGTAACTTAATTTTCATAAAGATTATAACCACAAAACTTTTGGACTGCAAGCCATATGATAAATATGAGAAACACTGTGAATTTGAAAAAGCTGAACTTTAGGTGACCCAGTTTCTAATAATAAAGAACAGAGATGTCTCACCAGCATGACCATAACTTACCCACATCTGTTTGAGGGCTAAGAGACTAAAGGTAGATCATCCTATTTCTCTTTCGTGCTTTTTTAACTACTCACCATTTTCTTTATTTTGGCTGGATGAAAATGTTAACACATAGATAACCAAAGAAAGTAACTTAATAATGGCAGTACATGTGAATCACAGTATCAAAATGTTGCTAGCGTGAGATTTATATTCAAGTCACATCTAGAGTCACTTTCTAAGTCAGACCTGCCCTTAAGCACGCTCAGGAGCCGCCCCCACCACTGGGGGAGCGGACGCCTGCAGAAGCCCGGACGGGAAGCGGCACAAAGTTCAGGGAACAAGGATAGGGCCTCACCCTTTGTTTTCTTGCATGATTTCTTCTTTTAAAAAATAAAATGAGTTTTTTCCTCATCACCTGGTTTCTAGAAGAGAAAAATATGGTTGTATGACATTAAGAAAAAGAACAATTTAATAATGCATTCACTTTTCTACTTTCAGAGACACTGAAAAACAAGCAAAGATCACGTAAGATCACATGATGCAATCAAAGCTAATTCTAAGGTTTTCGCCCTGCAAGATAAGACTGCTGCAGTGATTAGAACTGACTAAAATTCCTCCCATTCTACAGCAAGACTTTATAAAATAGTTAATTTTCAATTATGACATTCAGTTACAAGGCAAATATCATTTTCGAGTTCTAACTACACGGCTACTGATTCTTGAGCACCCTGGTGATGTAAGCGTCCCGGCACACTCCTGGAGGAAGGGAGGCAGAAGAGAAGGGAAAACCACTAAAGCCACCTCCCTACCTCAGGGGTGCGCTGCCCTCCCACCCACAGTAATGTACCAACTCAGAGAGAGGCGACCTCTGCCTTACACAGAAGGTTTCCTTCCATCACAGGAACAACACAGCCCGCACTGAGAAGTAACGGACAGCAATGGGACAGGACAGGGTGATGTCTCCTGCGTCTAACGTTAACTGTTTCACTTTGTAAACGTGAAGCTCTGTAACCCTCAAAAACAAGACATGCAGGTTCACATATAAATACTTAGACCCCAGCTACTTCCAGAAAGGATTTCAAGCTGATTATTCAAATATAAATAAAAAGCCAGGGCAAGTAGCAGTAATTTTTTGCACTATCTGCCACCCAGGACTAACAGTGACACTGGCTCCACTCAATAGGCATGGACAATCAGGAGCTGGCTATATGGAAAAGCAGCCGAGAGATGAAGAGAATTATTAAAAGGCACATTTGCTATTTCATACAAAGCAAATGACGGCGATGGGAGAAGAGCTACTGAACGACTCGGGGATGCATGCAGCTGAGGACATGGTCTCCATAAGGCGGCGGACAGCGGAAGAGGCACAACCATACACTCCGTGTGCGCGCACAGTCAGCACACACTACTCAAAGGCAGGTGACAGTCAGGAAGTATAATTTAACATGTTTCCTAAGGACTTAAATGAAGAACCCCATCTCAGGAGTGCAGGAGGCAATGCAGCTAACATGAAATAAATCAGACAGGGCTGCTCTGCAGCTCATATGGGGGAAAGGACAGAACACAAACGTAACAAAAGCTTTGTGAAAAAAAATAATTAAAAGTAGCCAACTAGATTTTACCTGCTATTCTCTTTAAAAAATAAAAATGTTAGAACAGCTAAGCAGTTCCAAAACAAGGCCTCTTTTATACGAGTTCTGCCTAACCCACTTCTAAGAGTTGTCAAGACCACAGCAGCACCTCTCAGAAAACTCTAAGTATATGACTTTTGCTATGAATCACTTACTCAACAAGAGATAAATTATTCAAATTTCAATGTTTTTCATGCATACTACCATGCAAATTATATTTGCCACCAGTTCTGCAAAGTAGTCAACTACTGTTCATACTCTCAGGAAGAAATTTAAAAAAAAAAAAAAGAAAAAAATATATATATAAATAGCAATATGCTCATCAGTAACTATACTCGTAAGTAATTATAATGTTCCGGTTACACTTAATAAAACATATAAAGTAGAAATAACACATTTTTGTTACAAAGAATAGTTCATCTAAAATTCTCTTAAAATATGATAATTAAAAAAAATACCTATCTAGCTTCCTCTCTTACTTCAATCAGATCAAGAAATTAGGTTTTCTTTTCACTTATTTTCTTATTCCAAAATGTGCATCCAGAGAGGCCTGGTGTCTGGGATGAGCAAGGCTAAGCCAGCTACACCGGGAGCGGCCCCCTCACCCACGTGAGGGGCTGAGCGCTTCCGAGGCACCAGGACGTGGAGCGGCAGCAGGGTCTACAAATACCGTCATTAGCAAGAGGCATGGAAGGGGTTTCCCTAGAATAGGGTTTGGACAATGATAAAGTGATCCGTGGCACTTCTACTTTGCAATGGCAGATGTGGCTTGGTGGGGACGGTGTCATCACTAGTCTTAAATGAAAAAGCTTCATTATCTTACTTCATCATGCGCCTTGCAGGTACTCCACTGAAAAAAAGACAAAACAGGAGGCAAAAAATTCAAGCCTCAAGGTAAGCCATTTCAATGTTAAGTATCACCTTTTTTTTTTACTAGCAGATGATAAAACCAGCTAGTTTTATGCAATAATTTATTTCATTTTTTGGCCTCGGAAACTCAAAGCTGTTACCCCAACCCCCAAGAAGCCAGAGGAAGATAACATATAGTAAAACGACAGCAAATTACACGAATCTAAAACACACCTAAGCTATATTATAATACTACGTCAGCAGGTAACATAAAAATGGTCTCTCTACAGAATATACGGTCTTTAACTGAAGAACTCCAAAGATGACAAATACTTACGCCTTGATGTTCTCATGGTACACCTTGGTGTCTGATGGCTGGTTATAGAGCGGCTGTAAAAGAAATCAAACATTTATGTGTAACATGCTGCACACGTGGAGACGCAAACAAGCGGTCTCTGCTCTAACGGCAGCCTAGGCAAGGGACTAACGGGTCTTCACAACAGACTCCAGGCGTCTGGGTTCCCCGAATAACTCTGCTCACCCCGTCTCCTGACACTGTGTAAGGAAGTTCGCAGATTTACTGTCCCCCAAAATAAGTATGTTCATTCACGGATTTTTTACGTTTCAAAGGCAAAGGGGGATCAAACACCATTACTGTTCTAACAGTCTGATTCAAAGAACTTTCTGTTCTGTGCCCACCTCCTCCTCCTCCCACCCCGGTGATTAAAGGCTGCTCAGGTGACACACCACCAGGTATTACAGCCGTGCACGTTGTTTTAAACTTCACCACAAAGATCCTGCCCAGCTACCTCTCTCTCGTCCCAAAGTCAACAGGCTGTATTCCCACGTGTCCCAGGAGAAACTGCTACAAACAAAGCACCAGAAATGAGAAAGGTGTTCCTTACTTACCAGTTCAACTTTTGGGCCAAGACCTTCAAATATTTTATGAGCCTCTTCTGCTTTTTTCTACAGACAAAGACATTATTATATTGTATAATTAAAAACTACATTACCTAAATGAAAAATCATTACCAATTTAGTAATATTTACCTAAAGACTAACACTTAGTTAAACTTATCCTTACTTCCAAATCTTCTTTCATACAGCAGGCTAGTCGCTCGCTCCTGGCCTAGGGGTTAGGGTTCGGCGCTCTCACATAGCCGGCTAAAAAACCCTGACTTCATCTTCAAAACTCTCTCACCAAATCCAGTCAAAGCTTGACATTTCTACTGAAAGCAAAACCTAAAGAACTGGTAAGTTTTTAAAAGCAAGCATATTAAGATTCCAGGGAGAGGAAGCAGCAATTCACTATTAGAAATGAACCCCTCCAACATTCTCAATGTGTCTTTAATGAAAACTTAAAAACATGAAATACCATAAAGTTGCCAGCATGCACTGTGGTAAGCCAAACTGACCCCTTTGAAGAGAAGCCTGCAATGAGCGTATTTTCTGACTATAACAAAACCTTAGTAATCACACAGGGAAAACAACTAGTCTGAATTACTCAAAGTGCTCAGTAGTAAGTAAATGACGAATTATGTATTTTACGTCCCATATTCAAAAAGGAAAATAATCTAGACCAAAGTGCTATCTGACAGAAATCTCGCTCTGATAGACAAATGAAAGTTTAACAAAACTCAATAGTAAAGATGTTCAAGCTGGACTGCGCGCCTGGCAACGTGTCGGTGGATCTCAAATCCCCCGTGCTCCCAGCACATGCCCGTTGTGACCAGGGCTCCCTGCCCGTTGCAGAGACTCCCACATCCGGGCACCTGCGGCTGGGAGACTCTCCCAGGCTTCGGACGTGATACACAAGTGAGAATGGGATCGGTCAGTATCCCCCAAGTGTAAAGAAAGATGTTCCCTTAGGATAAACATTTTATCAGTCACAACTGGTCAAATATTTATTTTAGTATATGTTATGTGGAAAGCACTATGTTTAACTAGCATAAGAAGCTCAAAGAAGTGTAATGCGTGTTCCAAACTTCGGGAAACTTAAAACGTTCTTAAGATGAGAAATAAACATTTTAAAAATTTCAAATACAAAACTACAAAAGCCCACTGAATTTGCACAGTGAGTTTTATCTCTGTGGTTCAAGGCAGGCTTGTCAACCCTGGCACTGCTGGCGTCCTGGGCCAGTCGCTTCTTTGACATGGGGCTGTTCTGTGTGCTGCAGGCAGGTCAGAACTCCTAGCCTCTCGGCCCACTGGATGCCAGCAGCACCCGCCCCTCCCCCAAATTACAACAGTCAAAACTTCAGCTGAGATCAACTGTTCTAATCTCAAGAAACCAACATGTAATTATCAGAAAATTCAAATATGTTAGCTTTAAGGCATATATTAAATAACACAAATAACATAATCACAGATGATAAATTTGGAAAAAAGTAACTCCTGCAACTAATTCCCTGTAGATGACCTACAATCACCAGTGTTTGAACGTGCTTTCGAGCCACTCCACGTTATACAGGGAGGGCCTACACCAAGGACAGGCAGGCTAAGTGGAACTGTACACAAATAACACTGAGAGACAAGGGGGGAAATTATATCACCGCAAATATTTGCTAGTATCCTATTATGTAAAGGCACTTACCTTTTCAGGGATAATTTTAAAGGCTAGTATTTAAGGTGTCTGCGGATCCCAAGATTTAAGTTTTGCAAAGTTTTATTAAATATCTGACTTCACGTTGGGTTAACTGCTAAGAACGGATTAACCTATCGATTGTTTGGCAGAGAAAAATTTAACTTAAAATCTTTACACCTACATATTACAATTTGTATCGTAAGCCTGTAAGTAGAAGCAATTAATGTCTCACACATATGCTGATATGTTCCCTGGGCCAGGCACTGGCCAGACACCGAGGAGACCACGAGTAAGACATCCCTCCGGGGGAACGAGGAGAAGACGACCCTGGAGCAGAGCTCTCGGCAGACCAGACAGGCCAGACCCCGGGGCCGCCCGAAGGCAGGGGCCTCACGGGCCAAAGCCCCACCTTCCAGGGAACGGCCCACCCTGCTCTGGGAGGGCATCACCACGAAAGGGGAACAGGGCAGGGGCTAGGCAGGCAGACGTGTCAACGCTGATAAAGAAGGCCAGGCTATTCTGTTAAAGTGGGAACTCCTCAAAAGGTTCCATCTGGAGAATCATGTAAGGGGATGCAAATACGAAGGACAGGTTAGAGAGAAAAAAGACTGAAGGAAGGAAAACTCAGTATCTACACGAGCGGTGAGGGCTCAAATTAAGCTACTGCCAAAGGAGGAGGCGAGACAGTCTCTCTCCCAACCTAACCTTTCCACATAATATACACTAAATAAACACTGGACGAAGCAGTCGGGAGAGGAGCACTTAGGAGGCAGCTCTCACGCTCGGCACTGACTAACCCCACAGAGGGGCGGAGAGGGACGCAGTCTCCAGGACAGCGGCCTGGGTGTCCAGATGGTTCCGGCACTAGGTACACTCTCCCCTGTCACCCTCCTTCTTCCTCCTGGTGCCACGTTAACTTACAAATCATTCGACCAAAATATAAACGAGGTATTTTTGAAAACTACACTCCACACTCCCGCTTTTCTATATGTATTATAATTCTGAAATTAGAGCACTTACAAATACTTCTGGAACCTACAGCCGGGAAGGGCGAGAGCAAACTGAACTGCTAAAGACAGTCCCGGAGAAGAGTCTGTTTAGAGACTAAAATGCATCTTAGCCGCAAGCTTGAATATGACGCAAGGCAATTTTTCTCTCAGGAAGCCGACTTAAAAATTCACAGTCACATTTGGGTAGTTTTCTTCCTCCCACTAACTTTCTAAATAAAAGAAGGATGCCTCATACAAGACAAGGGCCCCCACCTCTTAAGCCACAGGGGGCTCCATCCCCAACCAGCACAGCTGTAGGGGGCAAGAGGGAGGTGTGCTCTCACCACCCACCTCTTTGCCTCTGGCGTCAAAGCAGGCAAAGTCATCTGGGAAAAGAGCTGAAGAGGCAGGGAAGGCCTGGCAAAGGCAGCCTGGGGAGGAGGGAGGGCGTGGAAGGGGCGATGAGGAAGCCCCGCTAGGGACCTCTGCTACCGTCTACCACCTACGTGACCACGTGCACGGAAAGAAAGCGTCTTTAGGAGACGACTGCTGGAGACTGAGCTGAAGATGACCCTCCCTGTAAGTCTAACGTTAAGGCAGACCTCGAGCTTGGTCCCCCCGTTCGTCACAAAACGTGGAGCACACCGAGCACGTAGATGCTAAAACGGAAAGAGGAGGTCTGGAAGGGGTTCTCGCTTTTGTTGATGGGCGTGAAGAAACATGTACCACACTAACTAATGAAAAATATATATATATACAAACTAAACACAGCTGAACTTTCTATCAGATCTCACTCAACAGTTTTCAGTCCTCACATCCTGGTCAGCCAACCAGAGAACTCACTGGTACTGGAGCACTTTATTAGGCTTGTAAGAAAAGGCTTAGTAAGAAATCCAATCAATTAATAAATACCATTAAATTCAATTTATTTGAAAGTACGTCATATTAAGAAAGAAGTCAGTATTTTATTTTATATGCTCCATTTCCATTGTTCTCAGCTCTAATCCCTGTTTACTTTACCCCTGAGGCCACCAACTGGCCCGCAGCTCATCAGCCCACAGGAGTGTTTGGTTCCTCTCCAGTGTATTTTTTGAAAGCAGATTTCATATGAACTCCGTGCTCCTGGCTTCTCTCACAAAAGGGAGCGCCTGCTGACCCTGGGTCCTGTCCCTGCAGGGCCCCACGTCCCCGCCCTCCAGGCACACCCTGAGGCCGCCCTCTCCACTCCACCCTCATCGGACTCCTGTGCACGCAGACTGTTCTGTAGAGTCAACAGACTGCAGCGATTTTGAACGCAGCGGAGAAACTAATGTTAGTTGCCCACATTCCCACCTCCCCACGACACTTGCCATCATCCTAAGTATCACGTATCTGATGACTTCGTTATCTGCCTGTACACACACATACATGTGTATCTGAGTCCAAGATTACAACTATAAATGCTTATTTAATGACTATCTCACAGCTGCTTTTCTTAAGGCCAGTTTCCTTTACGATCTGTGCTCACGGAGTCACAGGCTGCCAGTGTCAGAGGCGCGGGTTTTGGTAACCCCACTCACCACGAGGCACAAGAATGGGAACAACAGTCACCAGCCCCTACCGTGTGATCAGCTCTGGTGAACAAGCCTGCTCTCCTCCGCGGCACTCACAGCACTCAATTCCTTCTTGAACGGGGGGCTTCTGGAAGCCCAGTGCTAAGCAGCTCTGTTGGAAAGTGTTTTTCATATTAAGGTGTAATCAGTTTCCCTTTAACTGCTAGTTCCTCGGCTGGATTCTGGCCAAAACCATCCTCGACATCACAGAATTATTCATAGAATCGAGGCCCAGCTTTCCTAAATCTGTGGACACTTTTAATTATGAGTATGAAAGAAGAAATTGTGTGAGCAAACCTAAAAAAAGCAAAGTCTACCTAAAGGTCAACGGTCTCGCACCTTAGAACTAAGATTC